ATATATATATGTGCATTTTCAAAATGACAGTTTTTTTTCATATTTAAAAAGCCATTGATAAATTCTTTGCTAAATCATCTATTTAAGCATTTACACACGTAGATTGGCTTTTATATTAAAAAATACATTGAATTACTCCCTTTGATTTCTTCAACTACTTTAGTTGATTTCATCATTCCATTCAGCAAACCTTCTTGGTCTTCCACTGCCTAGTGTGCTTTTTAACAGGCCTCAGGAAACCAATTACGGACAGATAATTTCTCAACACAGCAAACTAGCAATTAGAGTATCGGTGTCACACTTTGTAGAATGACTGTTTAAAGACTTGCAACGGAGCTAAGAATAGAATCTCCATCTTATCTGTTTTCAATAACTGTGCTCAAAGTTGTTTTATTAAAGGATTTTGTGCCACGCCTGTCTGAAGACTCACCGGGATACACTTTTAATTGTGCTATTGTATTTTTTCCAATGACTTTGCTCGAAACGTTGTTGCATTAAGTAAGATATTATGCAACCCCGACTATCCAAATTCATCTTCATGAGTGCTATATTATAATAATAATGCTTGCATTTGATTTAGTGCCTTATCACGTCTGCTAGATGCCTCAAAGCACTTCACAGAATATACTGTGAAGTGAACTGACTGTATATTTTGTGGGTGAAAAGCAGCAGCCAATTGTGCACAGCAGTGTCCCACAAACAGTCGTGGATTGAGTGATCAAATTATTATTATTTTAAAAATTTATTTTTGTTTTGAAGGGATTATTACCCCCAGAAAAGCAACTCACAATTCGACTAACAAGCAGTTTCCTGCTTACAGCTAGGTAAACAGAGACGTGTGGAGTAAGGAAACTTGCCCAACGTTTTGTTCTGGCCAGAATTCGAACCCTGGTCCCCTCGCTTGCAAGGCGAGTGGTCTAACCACTGAGCTACAGGATTCCCCTATTGGCAATTATTCCTGCTTATTTTTCAATTATTTTCCTCAAACTTCTTTCAGTAAGGGATGTGCACTCACATGTGGAACGTATTTCGCAGACACGAAATTGGAACTGGCGAGTTCATTTCTTCATACCTCAACACGTTTGATCTCATCAAGGTATAACATTCATTTTAAAATAACGGGGTGAAAATTGTAGTATTTCAAAATTGATGGAATGTCCCATTTTTCATCCCCACATTTTTACATTTGTGTTATAAATCAGTCAGTCACAGTGCGATTTGATAAAGACTTGCTCTCAGGAGGCTGACAGAAACCTCACAGTGACTGTCCATCTACCTCTCATGGAGATGTCAAACACAGCTCACTGCATGTTGTGACATACACCTGATGTTCCAGCATGTGTGCGCAGTTTGATAATGACAATGACAGATTGAATTTATGATCAAAACAGGAGATTTCTTTTAAAACCTTCTGAACATGAATGATACAGTCCACAATGACTCATAATTATGAATACAGAACTGTGGGAAGTGATGCCATCTGATTGCATTTTCACAATCTATACCCTATGGCACTTTTGGCATCTTTTTAAAACCTGCTCCAAAGAACACTTAGGAGAACAGGAAAAAAAACTGATTCTATCTGTAACAGATCTTCCAATACATCCAATATTAAAGCCAATCCAACCAGGCAAGCGAATGCACAAAGTCCAGCTAACACAACCAACCCATCAAACACATCCAGCCCAGATAATCCAATCAACCCAGCTGTTGCAAGTAACTCAGCAAAACTAAGTTGGAAATCTAACAGCTATTCTTGAAACACTGTTGATCATTCTTCAGACACCCACATGTCCATAAGCCTAACAAGATAATAATAATCCCTGTATTTGATATAACGCCTTTAATGCCGGGAGGACGGCTCAAAGCACTTCAAGGGATTTATTGTTAAGTATTGTGATTGTGCATTTGGTTGACAAACGCGGCAGATAATTTTGCACACAGCAATGTCCCACAAACAGCCATGAAGTGAATGATCAATTCTATCTAGGGGAATTGTTGGTCAAGACATTGGGAGAAACTCGCTTCTCTTTTCGAACAGTGCCATGGGATCTTTAACGTCCTCCGTGAACAGGGACCTTGGTTTAGGGTACATCTGAAGGATGTCAATGTAGTGCTTCCCCAGCACTGCACTGGACTATCAGCCAATAATAATAATAATAATAATAATCCTTGCATTTGATATAGCGCTTTTCACGTCGGGAGGACGTCCCAAAGCGCTTCACAGAACACACTGTGAAGTGAACTGACTGTATATTTGTGGGCGAACGCGGCAGCCAATTGCGCACAGCAATGTCCCACAAACAGTCGTAGATTGAAAATGACCAATTTATTATTGTTTTTGGTTTTGGAGGATTATTATTAGGCTCTGTGTGGAGTAAGGAAACTTGCCCGAGGTTTCGCCCTCTGCCTGGAATTGAACTCAGGTCTCTCACTTGTAAAGCGAGTGCTCTAACCACTGAGCTACAGGACTCCAAGACTGAGATTACAATCCTGATGTGGGGATTAAACCCACAACTTTCTAACTCCAAGCTGAGAATGCTACCGACTGAGCTAAAATGAAATTACACATCACCCAACATGCCTTGAAGGAAGAAATATGACAGATAGCCATCATGCAACTATCATATATCAATAATTCGTAACCAATTTTTTGTTGATGAAGTAACAGTTGAAACCAATGTGCCAGGTCTCGAGGGAATATATTTATTCCTTTTATGGCTGAAAGCCATGCATTTTACAATCCAAATTTTATAATAATAATAATAATATTCCTTGTATTTAACATAGCGCCTTATCACATCTTCAACAAGTCTCAAAGCACTTCACAGAATATACTGTAAAGTGAATCGACTGCGTAGTTTGTGGGCAAAATGCAGCAGCTAATTGTGCACAGCAGTGCCCACAAACAGTCGTGGATTGAGTAACCAAATTATTATTTGTTTTTGAAGGAATTATTACCCCTGGTTCTGCCAATCGACTAACAACCGAGTTCCTAACTTACTGCTAGGTAAACAGAGGTGTGAGGAATCAGGAAACTTGCCCAATGTTTAGCCCTGCCGGGAATCAAACCCAGGTCTTTTCGCTTGCGAGAAATAGTTCAACAATCAATTGTAAATTATGATAAGGCACTGTCCATCAATCTGTGCTATGTCTTATACTTGTACTTCTAACAAACTCAACAGTAAAGTGACACTGCTGAAGAGGTTACTACAGCTTTTAACCTCTGAAGAAAAGAAAGTTATTCCTAACTTTCTGCTTGCACTCCAGCCCAGAGTCGGATCAGACTTCTTTCCAGCTTAGCTTTCAATAGGTGGGCGAGGGAAGTTCTTAAATGGCTCAGATGAGGCCGAGTCAAGTAACAAATATTGTAAATTTACACATTATGTAGAAATATATTTGTAAAGTTCTTCCTATTATCAAATTATTATTACTTAATAATAATCCCTCCAAAATAAAACAATAATAAATTGGTCATTTTCAATCCACGACTGTTTGTGGGACACTGCTGTGTGCAATTGGCTGTCACGTTTCGCCCACAAATATACGGTCAATTCACTTTACAGTCTATTCTGTGAAGCGCTTTGAGACGTTGAGAAGACATGAAAAAGCACCATATCAAATGCAAAGATTATTATTATTATTACTTACTATTAATATTGGCGATTTTCCCTCACAAAATATACAGTCAATCCACTTCACAGTATATTCTATGAAGCGCTTTGAGACGTCTCAATGGCATGATGCGGCGCTGTATCAAATGCAAGGATTATTATTATTTCTGTTGTGATTGCAGCTCATTCACTGGCAGATGGCGAGAAACAGGGAAGAGACCAGCAGAGGGCACTCTGACCACACCAAGAGGCTGGAAGTTATGAAGCGCGAAGGCTTTCACTCTCTCTTTCTCTCTCTGAGCCATCCTTACAGCAACAGTCTCACATAGTGAGCCGTGTAATGTAAGCACCGCGGTATCCATGTGAAACTGCCACTTCCAACTCACTCACTCACTCACTCCCTCTCTCTCATTCACTCACTCCCTCTCTCTCACTCTCATTCACTCTCTCACTCTCTCACTCACTCCCTCTCTCTCACTCTCATTCACTCTCTCATTCTCTCTCACTCACTCCCTCTCTCTCACTCTCATTCACTCTCTCTCACTCACTCCCTCTCTCTCACTCTCATTCACTCTCTCTCACTCTCTCTCACTCACTCCCTCTCTCTCACTCTCATTCACTCTCTCACTCTTTCTCACTCACTCACTCTTTCTCTCAATCACTCTCTCATTCACTCTCTCTCTCTCTCTCACTCCCTCTCTCTCACTCACTCCCTCCCTCTCTCTCTCTCTCACTCACTCCCTCACTCCCCGTCTCTCTCTTACTCACGCTCTCACTCACTCTCTCACTCACTCCCTCTCTCTCTCTCACACTCACTCACTCACTCTCTCTCTCTTACTCACGCTCTCACTCCCTCTCTCTCACACACTCACTCCCTCTCCCTCTCTCACACTCATTCCCTCCCTCTCTCACACTCCCTCTCTCCCTCTCTCACACTCCCTCTCTCTCTCACTCACTCCCTGGACATCAGCCCTGACCCTCTGCTTCATCAGAAATAAGTAAAACAAACTGGAAACAGAAAGTGGGTGAGGCCCCCCCCCCCCCCACCCCCCCCCCACACACACACACACAACACCGAGGGACACCCACTCCGACCCAAATGAACCCTCCGCAGAGACTGTGGTCCCACTGTCCGCACAGATACTTCGTGTAAAAAAAAGAGAAAAACCTTCGCGGATCTCAGGTGTAAAAGAGCCACTCAGAGACCGATCGCTGCAGAGCAGAGACTTACTGTGACAGCTCCAACACTCAAACAGCTCAGCAATAAGTCTCCAAAAAAAAAGTTTTAAAGAGAGAGAGAGAGAGAGAGAGAGGGAGAGAGGGGGAGAGAGGGGGAGAGGGGGAGTTTGCTGTCTGTATATCCTTAAAGTGTCCACAGTACTTCACCTGCTCTCTTCTTCTTCCCTTCACCTGTTCTCTTCTTCTTCCCCTCCTCCTTCTCTCTGTTGCGATCCTTCCTCTTGACCTTCCCCCCCTGTTTGCCCTCAGACATCTCTGCTGGGCTCTCTGCTGGGTTTGCTGGGCTCTGTGCTGGGCTCTGTGCTGGGCTCTGTGCTGGGTTTGCTGGGCTCTCTGCTGGGCTCTCTGCTGGGCTCTGTGCTGGGCTCTGTGCTGGGTTTGCTGGGCTCTCTGCTGGGCTCTGTGCTGGGTTTGCTGGGCTCTCTGCTGGGTTTGCTGGGCTCTGTGCTGGGTTTGCTGGGCTCTCTGCTGGGCTCTGTGCTGGGTTTGCTGGGCTCTCTGCTGGGTTTGCTGGGCTCTGTGCTGGGTTTGCTGGGCTCTCTGCTGGGCTCTGTGCTGGGTTTGCTGGGTTTGCTGGGTTCTCTGCTGGACTCGGGGGGTGGACGGGGCTTTCTGGGCAATCGGAAGGTTAGATCCTCAACAAACTGGAGCAGGAGGCAGGTGAGGTCTGGCAGGAGGCAGAGTTCAGCTGGTGTAGGTGCCTTGTGCTGGGCTGAGCTGTGCTGGGCTGAGCTGTGCTGGGCTGTGCTGAGTTACACTGTGCTGTGCTGTACTGAGCTGTGCTGGGCTGAGCTGAGTTAGCCTGTGCTGTGCTGTGCTGTGCTGTGCTGTGCTGTGCTGTGCTGGGCTGTGCTGTGCTGGGCTGTGCTGGGCTGTGCTGTGCTGGGCTGTGCTGGGCTGTGCTGGGGTGATCTGACCTGGTCCTGTCCCGGGGTGATCCCTGCTGGAGCCTGTGTCCTGTCTGACAGTACCCACCCCTGTGCACTGTGCTCCAGTCTCCTGCACTGGATGAGGTTCTGACTGGTGGTTTGAGAGGGTCAGGGAAGCACTTTCAGGAGTCTTCAGCCGCCCACTCATGATTCGCGATTGCTCATATGTTCCCTCCCTTAAAAGCGGATCATGGAGATACGGTAAGGAGGGGGGGGGGGGGGGGGGAGGGGGAGTTAAAGTTTTGGGTACTTTTCTGTGCTTTAAACAAATAAACACAACTCCTTTCAAATCAGTAAGTTTCTCTTCTTTCAAGTCACAGCACATCTATAGTTTTCTATTAATTATATCTATAAACTTAATCCTGGGCACCTTTTCACTGCTATTCCTATATGAACTGGGAACTACTTAAATACCCTGAAACGATCAACGCACAGGACTCTCTATGTATATAGTTGTGTGTATATATCAGCTGATGTCAGAGAGAGATACAACAGAGTTTCAGCTAACTTCCCTCCCCTGCTGTTTTTCTGGTTAATTCTATCCCCTTTAGAATAATGTTGGATTTTATCAGTTGAGCAGAACTAACTTCCTTTAGGCACTGTAATAATAATAAAAAAAACAATAATAATAATCCATGCATTTGATATAGAGCTTTCACGTATTCTAGACGTCTCAAAGCGCTTCACGGGATATACTGTAAAGTGAATTGACCGTATGTTTTGTGGGCAAAACGCGACAACTAATTGCGCACAGCAGTGTCCCACAAACAGTCGTGGATTCAGTGACCAAATTATATATTTTTTAAAGGATTATTACCCCCAAAAAAGTGATCCGCCAATTGACCACCAGGTTCCTACTTACTGCTAGGTAAACAGAAGTGTGTGGAGTAAGGAAACTTGCCCAGTGTTTTACCCTGCCGGGAATCGAACACTTGCGAGACGTGTGCTCTAACCACTGAGCTATAGGACTCCACAAGTCCTGTAATTTTGCACATCTTTCACACTTCTGGTGATTCTGAAGTTGAAAGGTAATTAATGGAAATATCCCCTTCTCTACTGCAACAATTGAAGTTAAATATACAATCTAAAACATTTTCCTGTGCCTGGTAATGCCATGTATATTATTTGAATACTGTGTTTGAAAACAGTTTTGCTTATAGCATCCTAACTGAAGTCAATATTTTTCTTTTACTATTAACAATAATGAAAAGGGGACATTAAAAACAGGAGAACAACCCAACCCAGATAAACTTCCACCCACTCACTTACATTCCTTCCTAAGAAAAACAGATCATGCCATCAGATGATCTTCCCTTAGCAATTTCCGAAGTTTTTTTTAAGGCGATCACTATCCCCACCCGCTAACCAAATGACCAGAAATCTAACAAAACAGGCACTCAGGAATGGGGTCTCGATTGGAATCCTGCCCAACCCGAATAATTGTCGTTGGTCCATTCCAGTGTTCATGCTGTGAAGAATTGTAATAACAATGATAATCGTTGCATTTGATACAGCGCCTTATCACGCCTTCGAGACATCTCAAAGCGCTTCACGGGATATACTGTGAAGTGAATTGACTGTATATTTTGGGGGCAAAAACAGCTGGGGAGGTTGGTGATTTGTTAGCTGTAATTTGGCATACTCTGGCAGCAAAGTCTGCCTCGCTGAAATAAAATCTCCCAATTACTACAGTGAACAGCTGGGCAGCCCTACCCATGGTCAACAACAACAACAAATTACATTTGTATCGCGCCTTTCACGTCAGGAGGACATCCCAAGGTGCTGGACAGTCAGGGATCCACACCCTAGCTGGTGGTTGGGATCAGGTGGGTAGAGGGTGGAAAGGGTGGGGTAGGAGGGTCTTGAGATGGGTTTTGAAGGAGGCAAAGGAGGGGACGAGGTGGAGGGACTGTGGGATGGAGTTCCAGAGGGTGAAAACAGAGAGGCTGAAGGCCCGCCATCCAATGTTGGGGCAGGCAAGGCGGGAGACATGAAGCATATTTGGTAATGCTCATCTCTCTTATCGGACAAAAGACACCTTCCTTGTCCATTGTCCCCTATCAATGGTTCATCACCTCATTGAAGTTGAGATCCCCTCTCTCGCTCTCTCACCCTCCCTCCTCTCCTCCCTCCATGTATTCAAAATCCTTAATTAAACTGTGCAAATTCCACCCCAATGTCCACGACAGATGGTACAGTGAATGTAGTGTAAGGTGTCACTCTATTTAATCTCCTTATCTGTTCCAGGATCTGTAGGTTTCAAACACCTCCTCTCAGATGCCCATCAATAGTGCCCTGGACTACTTTGTGAATCTGCCTCAAGATGATCCACAATCATTGTCGCTGACTTCATCCTGAGAACAGTCTACAAACATATTCCACCAGCAACAGAGCCAACAAGAAAATTAAAAAAGTGGATTAAAAAAGTGTGCGGAAAAGTAATAATGTTAGAGAAAAAAATATATGAATTAAAACTTTGGTTTGATAAATTACTCAATGTTCCCCTCTTAATATGGCAGTTCTGTTTATTCGTAGCATAGGTTAAGCTGGCATGCTGTGATCATCAAAACTACTTTGCTTCTATTCCCATACAGTTAGATAGTGCCACTCCACAGTGTCCCTAAATTCCTAACACCTTGTAACTGGTGTCACAACATGTAGTGTTCTTGTACTGCATTGTCTAGAATGGCCATGTCTGTCCTTCCTTCCTTATGTTCCACAATTCATTGCAATGCTGCTCTGTCATGGGAAGTTTTCAATAAAATAATCTCGCACATAAAATGCATTTCTATGGTGTCCTGCAGCTTAGTGGTTAGAGTGCTCACCTCACAAGCGAGAGGACCTGGGTTTGATTCCCAGGCAGGGTGAAACATTGGGCAAGTAAACATGCCTCTGTTTACCTAACAGTAAGTAGGAACCCAATTGTTAGTTGATTGGCGGATCGCTTTTCCAGGGCAATAATCCCTCCCCAAAGAAATAATAATTTGGTGACTGAATCCACGACTGTTTGTGGGACGCTGCTGTGCATAATTGGCTGCCATGTTTCGCCCACAAAATGTACAGTCAACTCACTTTACAATATATTATGCAAAGTGCTTTAAGACACCTCGAAGACATAATAAGGCTCTATATCAAATGCGAGGCTTATTATATTATATTTCAATTTTTGCACAGCACAGAATTTAGGTGTCCATGGGCAACACCCTCTTTCATTTCATATTAATACTTCTCATTGACAATCATTGGTCACTATTATCAATTAAAATCCAATGGTGAAACCTATCAGCCACATTGTAAGCCATTTCAGACCAGATGTGTACAATAGTATTCTCAGGTACTCTGCCTCAAAGGACAAACTCAATAGAAATGCTGCATTGTGGTCCACAAACTCAAAAGTAACTTAAATCAGCTACCTGATCACGTGATTTGTTTTGAAGAAACAAATACCCTCTGAGTATCTGATGAAGAGCTATGTTGTTTTGCAACAGAGTTTTACAAGTTAACAATTCCTGATATGAATGTCGGGATAACTCAGATTTATCCAACTTGATAGTAACTATGGAGTCACTCCTAACTTTTGCAATAACAGTGTATCGCTTTGTAAGGGCCATTCTACTAATCATCGGGAACAAGTCACTTCACAATCTACTTTGTTTTGCTCAGGTTCTTCTGGTACGTTCTCTTGGGTATTGGATTTGTTGCTGTTGACTAAGTGCTTTCCTGCTCCATTGGGCAACTTTAACAAATTTGTTCCTGTGCTACTTATGAAAAGTTGCCATGAAGTTGAAATCTGTTTCCATTTTGCATTTGTAATGCATGTTACTTACAAGTTGAAATTCCAGTCTTGAGCCCATAGCAACATATTGTCTACAAGGAGCAGAGTACCACATTATTTCTCACTAGTTTAAAAGTTCTAGGACTTTTACTCCCTCCAATCTCTTTCTTCTCCCCTCTTTCTGCTGAAGAAACAAATTCATTCTGATGCATGGATCCGCAGTAAAGCAGCATTACTCCAAAACCTTATTCAAGTGACCATACTCACTATGTTAGCCTAGTCAGTGCATTTCTCCAGGTTATTCTACAGTGGATGCGTCACAGTCATACCCAAAGCCGTCCTCTACCATGGCCGCACAAGCCTTGATAGGATTTAGAGTTCAATACAAAATATGGGCGCAAAATACAAGCTACAAGGAAATAACAAGGGATAAGGCTAATAGTGGGTAAGCTTGCATCAGCATTGTGATAGGATAAATGGCCTCCTGTGCTGTAAATGTGAACTGTCTGTCACAAAATATTTCATAGGAAGTATGTACGCTCATTCCTCAGCTTGGGACACCAATCACAGCTGAGATCAGGGGGTAAAGCTG